AATAATAATAATAATAATAATAAGATTGTTTCATGACACGTAACTAATTTCCGATTCAAACAAAGTGGCCATGTCAATAAATAAATAATTAAATAAATAAATACTCAATGAGGTGAATAATGATATTACTATTAACAGTGAATGTTTTCTTAATATTTATTTATTAAAATAATCATTAATAAAAAAGATTTTAAAAACGCAAACAATATTTTCTTTTTGAAAAAGCAAAGCAAAGAATTTGATAACTTGTTGAAGCAGAAACGTAATAATCATTATCATACATGTGCATATTTAAAGAACAATGCTTAAGGTCACGTAAACGTTTTATCTTAAAAATTATTAGCTTATGAAAAAGTGCATTTTCATCTTAAAGTATAAACTGCCGAAAAATACAAATATTCAAGTGCAGTACAATCACCTCAAATTGTACCTGGGCCGATTTTTTTTGAATATAGGATCTTGGTTACTCAACTTTTTTCTTGATTATTTCTATTTTAGTCTGTTTTGTTTTATGTATTAATATATATAGATATTTTATCCTGGCAAATATTATGTCTGCTTGTTGGTCGATTGTAATTAAACTTATTTTATTTTACAATTAAATAGAATTATAATTTAAAAAAAGTTTAGGGTGAGTTTATTTTACTACTGAGCAGCCACAGCGCTGGATGAGTGAGCTGATCCTGCTCTTTTTAAGCAGTAGAAGAAGAACGAGGGTCCCTCTGGAGGCGGATCTCCTCAGCAGCGTGTCTGAGCTGCACAGTGCTCTGGCTGTACCTCATTATCAATCTGCTACAGGAAGAAAAACGCTCTGCTTTGTTTGTGTTATTTTAAACCAATCACAGTCATACTTGGTGGCGCTACGTGCCGGATACTGTCCTGCAAAATAGTGCCCTGGGGGAACTTCTTTTGATGGAACCTGCAAGGAGAAATAAACTTTTTCCAACATCGGTCGGCAAAGAAGCAAGGAAGTCCCTGTTACACATCACAATTATAGACATATTCTCTGTTTACAACAGTTCACCAAAATGTTGGTTTTAGTGGTCCGGAGGTTTTGTTGTTGTTTCCCGTAGCGGAAGGGAATTTAAAACGGTGACACATGTACCGGAAAAGGAAGCGGCATCCGGGGGACTGTGACAGTTTAAAGGAGGAAGTAGTGAGTAGTCTTTTCCTTCGAAGGATGCTTCCTAAAAAGAGTGAAACGAAGGACAGAAAATAGAAAAAAAAAATGGAGCACATAGATCACGCTTACACCAACAGCACTTGCGACAAACCTTGCTCCGCGGAGTTCACTCATAAAAGTAAGACAAGACGAAAGAAAATGTTGAAGGAAGCTAAGCTTGAGTTAGCTTGGGCTGACAGCAAGTGCACTTGACACAAGTGCAACAAGCGCGCTGCCGTCACTGGGACTTTAAAGTGAATGTCAGTCAGGGAGCCAACGCTGTTTTCGGGT